CAAAATCAGCCGAACACCATTGGGGGCTTTCGATCACGGTAGAAAGTACGGCTCGGGCCTGACTTTAAGATTGAATTTTCCGTCTACGATTCAAATATATAAACTGCTGCTTTATCGGTCATAAAGGCTTCCAAATCGACCGCTTGAAACCCTTATATTTATACAACTTTGACTGGAGCCTTCAGTATGAACAAATGCAGGTTTCACCTTGATAGAGGCTGGTAATTGAGAATCTTACATCTATTATATTATAGCATTTTCACCAAAAATCTCAAGATAAAGATGAAGCTTGAAGATTTGTTTATGAGAAGGACGATAATTGGTGGAAAAAGAATACTTCGAACTTACATTAGATAGTCCATAACGAAGGCTTAGTACTATGACCTAGAGCGTTCGAGATCAAATGTTTGGTCTTTGCACAACCCGTAATTAATTCCAGTAATTCCCTTTGACGAGACAAACACTTCTCAATCATTTTTGTGGAAATGAGGTGATTACTTCGATCAATGACGAGTAGGAAAACATCACTATGTAATGCCTACTTTGCGTTTTTGGGAGCAATGTGACGCAGTGATAGGAGCTGCTAATGGAAATCTCCTGGCTCACTAATCCCATCCCATTCATGAAAGATTTGGATAGAATCAGACTTTTGTCTAGAGGAGCAGAGCGTATCAGAGATTATAACCAACGACCGATGAAGCTTCTACCGTAATCCCAACAGTTTACGGAATTTAAACTCCATTTGACATGCTGTTTTTTCACAAAGGTGCTTTTTTTTACAATATGCAGTGCAAATATTCTGAACTTACTTTCCAAGATGCTCTAACTGATCGATGTCGTTGATGGCTGTTCGACCCATAGGAGTGGTCAATCGTCGTACACCGAACGGCATGTCGATATTAGCATTGAGGTCGTCCAACAAACTGTCTATGGTACGGTAACGATTCTTCGACACCGGCACGCGGATACCCTGAAAAGACAGCAAGTTGGTTTCGGAACAAGATTCAGCGATATCGAGTGTCACCTCTTCAACATACTTGAGTCAGTGATCTGTTCCTTCAACTGTTTCAAACTCAAAACTATTTCGATTGGAAAGCTGATGTTTTGGGATGTAAATCAACATTGCATTATTTCAATAAATAATGTTTTAGATAGACGAAAAGTTGTTCACGATAATTATGTCCTGTAAGTTAAATTACTTTGAACTATAGAAGTGATTTACCAGAATATGAAATAATTTATTGTTGGTGTAGCTAAGTTCACAGTGTCAGACTGCATTCGCACTCAACTTTGATCTTCGTTATGGAAAGTTTTTTGCTTTCGATAAGGTTTGAAGAGTAGTGGTATACCCCGGCGGAGAGACAGTGAACAACTTTGCCATAAGGTGAATATCATATTTCCACTTTCCTGCAGCGGTCATCTGGTGAAAAAAAATGCCACAAGCCCCACCGCCGAATCATTTGGCAGACGACATAGGTAAGCTTGCTTTTGTGCTGTAAGTGTGGACTACACAACTTCCATTTGCACCAGCTTCACG